TTCTTCGGATGCATATAGAATGGAACATATATATGTTCCATTCTATATGCATCCGAAGAAGTGGGCTGTAGTCCACGAAAGCTTATGCTCTAATAAATTTGTTAGTCTCTAAGGTGCCACAAGTACTCCTGTTCTTCTTTTTGTATCTTGTGGCCCATCAGGTACAGTAGATCCTTTCCTGGGTTCTCTTCCTTTTTTCACTCATGTTGGGCATCTTCCCTTTCAGACAATTCTATTAAACAAATCAACTATTCAAGCCAAAAATGCACATAAACTTCCTCCGTTATTTACGCAGCTTGAACTTGCTGTGCCCTCAAATGCAGATTGGTTTTGTGTGCCTGACAATTGTAGCAAGGGCCCCCCTCAGCTGTGTTTACGGTCTGGGGGAGTTTGCAATGTATCTGTTTAGTGTAAAAATCTCTCTTGCCTGTGGTGGAATGGGGGAAGGGAGGCTGGGAGCAGAGAGGCAGTTCAGTCCAGCTGGGAATAACGTGCTGTTCATGTTAACTCTTAATCCGTTTGATCAGAAACAGCTGTTCAGTGGCCCTGGTGAAAGTCCTAAGAGCACTAGAGGGGTTTTACTCCATTTCTCAAAGCCTGTATACATTCTCCCAGCTCTGATTAAGGCAGATCTAAGAGAGGCATCCCTCTTGAATTGGGAGGACAGTTTAAATAGTGCTTTCTGGGTCTTGAGCTGGGCTAATGGCCAAAGAGGTAAATGTCTTCATTCAGAGATATTGCCTTATCATCTGCAATGGCAGCATGGCTGTGTGTGTCTTCCCCTCCCTCAGCAAATATACTTGTTTGTATTCGGTGTTTCAGGCAAAGATAGAGATTTTTGACGTGATTGTGTGCTGTTGGTTGTCAGTGTACCTGCTGCTAGTGCAGCGAACAGGCTGGTGGGGTGGGCTCCAGGGCATGGGGTGGAATGTGGCAGAGTAGAGAGTTGGTGAAGCAGTAGCTGCAATCAATACACTCTGCGAGGGCTGTTTGTGAAAGGTGGGGAGGGAAATGAAAAAGACACTCAGAGACAGCTGTGTCCTCTTGCTCTTTCACAGACTCCAGTAGAAATGACTCCAGCACCTGTGATCAAAGCTGAGCCCAAAGAAGTGAACCAGTTTCTAAATGTACCAGCAGGTAAGAAAATAGAATCAGCCAGCTGGTACTTAGCCCAGTCGTGCATCCCCTCAATATTACACAGTTCTGGCTGCAAAGCCTCGTCACTCCAAGCCATGCATATAAACACACGAAACAACTCTCATACACCGAGCCTTACACATACAATAACAACAGGGCAGGCTGACATGGGTTACCATGGAACCCCTATCTTCATGCAGAATTACCTGTGTTCAGATAAAATGGAATTACCCCATGTACAAATTGCCACATACAGAATTGTTTGCAACTCCTGTGTACAAGAAACTACCTTATAGCTGAAAATATATATGAGAGATCTGAGCATTGAAAACCTCACAGGGACCTTGGAGCTATCCAAAAACAACCATTCAAAAGCCAGGAAATTCAAAATTCAGTTTAATTTGAAAGGAACCCAAATATTTGAAGTCCGAAAATGCACGATTAAGGCGCCATTAAGAACTCTGACTGCCCCAGAGAGACCCAGCCTAATCATGCTCCCACATACAATAGGGCCACAGGAGTGGGGTCAGCCCTCTAAGCCAGAGCTGAGGCACTTCTCAAGCACCTGGTGACCTGTTGTGATGCTGAGCAACCAGAGCCACTTGGGTGCATTAAGTACCGTGGCAAGTGTGTGAGCCCCTGAAATGCTTTAATAATAACAATGCCTAACTCCCATATAGCACTTTTCATCAAAGTGCACTACAAATGAGGTCAATAGCTTTATTCCCATTTTACAGATGAGGAAACTGAGGCACAGAGTGGTGCTTGTTCCCTGGAGACCTTCCTGTGTTTGAGAGTGTGCTGGGCGGTGTTTTGGAGCAGTATAGCTGAGCCAGGGCACAACAGACTTTGCATGCTGTTTTGGTTCTTATACCAGCCCATCATTGTGGTATCCGGATACCCTGTAAAGATCCTCAGCGTTTTGGCAAACTCCCTAAAGATGGCAGAGCCAGTTCTTTGGAAGTTGGCTTGATAATTTGGCACTGCATGCCTTTTGAGACATGCTTTCTAACATTTCTGATTTTGTCCTGGGCACTAGACCTCACCAAGATCCATTAGAGAAATCATTTTGTAACCGAGATTGTAGGGATACTTTAGAAGAATCTTAAATTATGATGTCACCTACTTATGTCCTACATCTGTCTGAAATACCTGACTCAGATCTAGTAAAAACATTGTCCCTTGGCTGTAGAACAGCATTGGCATCAGGAAGAGAGCATGGCAGCCACTGCACAGCATGGTTGGGGCAGGAATGGGTGTGTATATGTGTGTATTTAGAAATTCTAGGACTCATCCTAGGCCCTGGGCACTTCACCATACTTCCCAACATTTCAAGTGGCTAAAGCGGGCCATCTCCACTGCAGCCACTGAGTCCGTGCCACACTCACTCTCCACCTTCCAGCCTGCGCTGCGCCCACCCCCCAGTGCAGTGTCACTCCTGTCTTTGAGCAACCCTGCAGCCACTGAACATGCCTGATGGGGTTGATCATGTCCAGAAGCAGCTGAAGCTGCTGTCTCTCTGCCTCTGCCCAACCCCCTGCCAATGGTATGCACCATGTGTAACATGCGTACAGCTGCGGGCGGGCGGGCGTCACCGAATGTCGGAAATGTTCTGTTTCAACCAAGACAGGGGTTTTGAGGATCAAATTGGACAGCCATGTGAAATCCAGGCCTGTTGGGCCGTCTGCTTCACACTAATTAAAACTAACAATACTGCTTACAAATATCACATCCCTTTAGCACACCTGCTTTTATGAATATCAATAAAACTGGCCTCCTTGCTAACAATGACCTTCGTCAAATTTCACCATATCCCATCTCTTCAGCCTACCTCTTCCCCAAATGTCTGTGAAGAATGGTGGGCCTTGCACCATGGCCAGGTTAGCAAATATAGGCCGAGGCGGACGGAACAGGGAGCTATATCCAAGGACTAGAACTCTGTGCAGGGTACCACAGCCAACAATTCCCTCTCCTTTAAGCCAAGCACATGGCAGCATAAGAACCTCTGCTGACTATAATAGGTGGTTCCAATTCAAGTATTTCTTTGGGAAGCAAGTTTTGGTCCCATCCCCCCCGGCAGGGACCTCATTCCAGTCCCCACTCATACCCCCTCCACAGGGGACCCAGTTCTCCCTCAGCCCAGGGATTTCCCTTCTCTCTTACCCACACAGTGTGTGAGCCAGTGCTACTGGGAGCAGTGGCAAATTAACAAATTTGCCACCCCTAGGCCCTGAAAAAATTGCCGCCCTCCCGCGCCAGCTCACCTCCGCTTTCGCACAGCAAGCCTGGGAGGGAGGTGGAA